AAGAAATAGAAAAAGTTGGGAGACAGTGATGTTGTTGTCGATTATTATAATGATGATAATTATGATTATGATGATGATGATGATTCATGATGATGATGATTATTACAATGACGGATATAAGTGATATAAAAAAAGTTTAAGTTGAATTATTTTAATGATTTGTAAATAGTAAACAAAAAATATGAACTCTATATATATATACATATACATATACATATACATATATACATAAAGGAAAAAAAAAAGAAAAACAAAAAAAAATTTTATTATTATTATTATTATTATTATTATTATTATTATTATTATTATTATTATTATTATTATTAATAATTTTATTTTTTATTATTTTTATTAATTTTTTGTTTGTTTGTTTTTTTTTTTTTTTTTTTATTCCCGTAAAATTGAAAAGAAAAAAGTGAAATAGAAAAAGTGTTTGAGTGCGTGTGCGTGTGCGTGTGTGAGAGAGAGAGAATGATGAAAAAGGAAATTAATAAGCAAGACGTAAAAAGTGATTATTATTATTATTAATATTTAAAACTTTTTCATTAAAAAAATATATATATGTATGTATTTATATACACGCATAGTGAAGGAAAACTGCGATGAGATTTTAATAATAATAATAATAAATAATAATAATAATAATAATAATAGTAATAATAAATAAATAAGTAAATAAAAACGTATGAACCGAAAAAAATTTACGCATAAAATTATTTTGTAATTTTTTTTTAGATTTATTAATAATAATAATGATAATAATAATAATAATAATAAATTTATTGGTTTTTATCTCTTATCAAATTCGATGATACGCGTACATACATACTACATACATACATAGATATTTTATTCGTTTTATTTTTTTATCAATTTTTTTTTTTTATTTTTTTGGTACGAATAAAAGAAAAGGAAAAGGAAATGAAATGAAATTTTTTTTATTTTTACTTTTTTTTTTTTTTTGTAATTTTATTTATTTATTTATTTTAATTATTAATTGAATTGTGTATTGTTTGTTTGTTTGTTTGTTTGTTTGTTTGTTGTTTATTATTATTAAAAAAAAAAAAATTTTTTTTTTCTTTTTTTTTTTTATTAAATGTAAAACCTGAGGGGAGATGCCTGATAGGAGGGGGAAAGGAGGATGAGGAGGAGGGGGAAAGATGGAAATTTATAAATAAATAAATGAATTGATTGATTGATTGATTGTTTTGGAATGAAATTTTTTTTTTTTTCTCTTAATATTTAAAAATTAAAAATTTAATAACGAGTGAATAAGTAAATACGTAAATAAAAATGATAATGATAATGATAATGTTACTAATTAATGACTGATGAGAAAAATTATTATTATTATTATTATTATTATTATTATTATTAATTTATTTTAATTTTTTTCTTTTTTTTCGGTTTTTTTTTTATGCGATGATATTAAATTAAATATTTATACTCGTGGATGATTCAAATTATTATTATTATTATTATTATTATTATTATTATTATTAATAAAGTATCGTGTGTGTGGATGTGGGTGCGTGCGTGCGTGTGTGCGTGTGCATATCATAGCGTATTGTTGCTATTTAAATTAAGTTTTTTTAAAAAAGAAAATGGCGATATTTTGAGACTGATTATTATTATTATTGATATATTTATAAATTAAATTTACTAATATTATATTTTAATTACCCATTGATTGATTAATTGATTGATTGAATTTTGTATAATAACTTTTTTGGGATTTTATCAATAATTAGAAAAAATAAAAAAATTTAATAATGATGATAATAATAATAATAATAATAATAATAATAATAATAATAATAATAATAGTTTTACGTATATAATAGTATTTTTTTTCTTATCCCGTACACAAAAAAAAGGTAAATTTTTATTGATTGATTTATCGATTTATTTTGCGTGTGATTAGTATTATTATTATTATTAGTATTATTAATTATTATTATTATTAGTATTATTAATTATTATTATTATTATCATTATTATTATTATTATTATTATTATTATTATTATTATTATTATTATTATTATTGCAATTTTATATTTTATATCTATTTTAAAAAAAATTTTTTTTTTTTTTTTTTTGTGTTTTTTCAACCTCGGTCAAAACAATTTACTTATTTATTTTATTTTATTTTAGTTTTTTTTGTTTGGTTTTTTATTGATTTATTAAATAATAATAATAATAATAATAATAATAATAATAATAATAATAATAATGATAATAAATAAATAAAATTGTGAGATAATCGAATGGAAAATGAAAATAATTAATTAATTTTTTTTCTTTTTTTTTTTTTTTTTTGTATTTTTTACTGGTGCAACACGCGAATTATTTGAAAATAATAATGATAATAATAATAATAATAATAAACATTTTCTTTTTTTATTTTTACGGTCAATAAAAATTTTTATTTTATTTATTTATTTATTAATTTTTTATTTGTTTTGAACACGTGAAATTTTTTAAATGAATTTTTCATGGATTACAAATAGAAAAGAAAGGAAAGGAAAAAAATAAATTCACTGATTGACTGATTGATTAATTAATTAATTAGAGAAAATGGAAGAGAGGTGGAAGAAGGAGGGAGAGGGGAATCAATCGAGAGTTTTTCATTTTTATTTTACGTACATAAATTGATACGATATTTGATTAGAGAAATATTTTAAAATATTTTATTAAAATAAAACGAGTGCCCTGAATTTTTTTGTAAATTTATTTATTAATTTTTAACAAAATTTTATTATTATTATTATTAATAAGTACTATTTCTATCTTTGCTCTTATTATTATTATTATTATTATTGTCATAATCATTCATTTTATTTCATCGGAAGAAACCAAAAAAGAAAACATTTTGTCGTTTTAATGAGAGAAGGAAAAAAAAAAGAAAACAATTATTATTATTATTATTTAAATTAAAAATTATGCATACATACATACATATATTTAAAAACGTATTACACTTTATTATTATTATTATTATTTTTTATTTGTAAGCTCAAAAAATGAATAAATGAATCAGATTTTTTAT